GTATTTTGCAACTTCTCTAAGACTGCTTGCCCAGCTGGCAGCTGCGTGAACACCGCCTTAGAGTGCGTCACAGGATGCGCTGGCATAGTTACCAACCTTTGTCCTGCTTTAGGTGAGGAGGAGACTGCTGTGGAGCCTGTGCTCCACACAGCCTTTAATCCATTCCCCAGGCAGTAGAAAACCAGTACCAAAGGAAGCTGGAGACCCTACTTCACCCTCAGGACTGCCTGGGTCGGGCGGGAGTTCAGAGGATGGCCTCCCGCCCAGGATTTAAGACCAACCCTTTTGATTCCGTAAACAGTTCCAGCTGATGGAAGTCCAGATACTGCTCAAAAGTGCTCTGGGCAAATTTTAAATAAAATTTCAAGATTTGACCCCCTCTGGCCTCTGCCTGAATGTGTGCGCTGCCCACCTGGTGTTTTCTTGCCTTCGCCAATCATGATTTTCTCCTTGAGATGTGCTGATTTATTTTCCAGTTTGAGGGTCACAAAAATTTCCCATTTTCCCTCCCAGTAATCAGCCTTCTTGGTCACCTTTTCATTTGTTTGGTTGGTTGGTTTCTTCGAGACAGGGTTTCTCTGTGTAGTTTTGGTGCCTGTCCTGGATCTCACTCTGTAGACCAGGCTGGCCTCGAACTCACAGAGATCTGCCTGGTTCTTTCTCCCAAGTGTTGGGATTAAAGGCTCCTTTGTTTGTTTTTGAAGTAAGGGCTCAGACCTTACTCCAGAATGTAAGGCTCCTGCTCCCCCTGAGCTGTGTGCCTCCAGCCCAGCTTGTCACTTTTAACTTTGCTTTTTCTCTTTTAACCCCTTTCAAACCTAAGAGACCAGTGTAGAATCGGAAAGTCTTTCAAAAGGTTGAAAATTTCACAAAACCTCAGCGAGCTGTAAAAAGTGTCAGTCTGTGTGTACTAGATAAGGTGCCAGCTTAGTACGGTGAGGGAAGAGTCTTGACCCCTTCAGCTGGACACCTCACTGCTCAGACAGTATCCCACACGTCAGTCACTGCAGGCCGGCAGATTGATCCGGGCTGGGAGCGCTGCACATCCGCAGAGCCACTGTTTCAGCCCTCGAGGCTCCATTAACACGTAGACTCCCCCTCCCTTTTTCCTGAAAATTACCCAGAGAGGAACCGTCTTGTGCCTTTGGGGACTCCTGTCTGTCTCTTGCCGTTTATGAAGATGGAGCTGGGCTGAGGAGAGAGGCAAAGGCCTATTTTGTGGTTCAGATGCATTAGACAACCGCTGGGATAATGGAGGGGAAGGCCGCTCGTCTGCAATCAGCGGCCTGCAGAGTGGTGGCTGAGGCCTGGCTCCAATTGCAGAGGAAGTGTCTGGGGTGTGATGAAATCACTGCTATTACGACTCCTAAAGAGAGGGACTAAGGGAACCTGAGCAAGAGCCCTGTGAGTGCCTCAAGCTGTACTTACTTTATAATCACCATTTCTCAGGGCAGAGGACTCAGAATGAGTCTTGATTGAAATCTCGAATGTCGGCTGAGGCTATGCTGAATGTTCTGATGGTGTATACTCTTTGTGAGTGTCGCTGGGGTAGAGAAGTGTTCTGGATTTGCCTACGCATAACTGTCATCCTTGTATTTCTTCCTCCGGTGGACATAGTGCAGAATGTAAATTGTTTCTGGGTAATAACTCTGATTCCAACTAATGACAGCTCTTACACAGATATTTCCTGGGCCTCTGCTGTTGAGGACTGTCTTTGGAACAATAGAAGCCAGTCCGGTGTCATTTGCTGGCGGTAGAGAGACGCGCTAAGTCCTTCAGCATGTTTAAAGTCACATTAACGATTTTATTCAGCCAGGTGTGGTGGTGCGCACCTTTAATCCAGCACTCGGGAGGCAGAGGCAGGTGGATCTCTGTGAGTTGGAGGCCAGCCTGGGCTACACAGTAAGTTCCAGGCCTTCCAGTACTAACTACATAGTGAGACCCAGTATAATAATAATAATAATAATAGCAATAATAGTAATGATAAGTCGTTCTAAGGAGTGGGAACATTACTAGAACCTTTCAAGCTTCCTGTGTGTCCCTTTAAATCCTGTCTTCACAGCACCAGAGATGACTGATGGATGTCTTGATTATTTTAATTATTGCTTCCTCATCCCTCTCCTTTGTAAGAGGGAGTTTCACCATCTTGTATACACGGCGTAGACATCATGTTTAGGTCCCTTGTTTTTGAGCTTTAAACAAATGGTGTATTATATAGTCTTCTGTGACTCTGAGTGTGCGTGTGTGTGTGTGTGTGTGCGCGCGCGCGCGCGTATGCTCGTGCTCCCTGGAATTAAAGGTGTTCGCCACCAGCCGGGCGGCAGTGGTGGTGCACGCCTTTAAGCCCAGCACTCGGGAGGCAGAGCCAGGCAGATCTCTGTGAGTTCGAGGACAGCCTGGTCTACAGAGTGAGATCCAGGACAGGCTCCAAAACTACACAGAGAAACCCTGTCTCGAAACACAAAACAAAAACAAACAAAGGCGTGCACCACCACTTCCCAGCATCCATCCAGCCCTTTGTTTTGAAATAGTGTTTCCCATTGTTCTGGAACTCACCAAGTAGGCTAGGCGAGCATCTGTCTTGTTTTACCTCCCCAAAACACTCGGATTACAACCTCATGCCACTATGTGTGGTTTCTGTTGTTGATTGTTTCTTATTATTTATTTATTTATTTGTTTATTTTTTCGAGTCAAGGTTTCTCTGTGTAGCTTTGGCTGTCCTGGAACTCACAGGCTGGCCTTGAATTCAGATCTGCGCCACCACTGCCTGGCTTGTTGATTTTTCATGTGAGTCCTGGGACTCAAACTGAGATCCTCAAGCTTAGAGGCAGCAATGCTCTTCTGACTGAGCCAGCCCTCCAGCCCCTCCCCCTTGTTTTCTGAGACTGTCTCTCACTGAACCTGGAGCTCACCATTTTGGCTAGACTGGCAGGCCATTGAGCACCTACGATCTGCCTGTCTCCCTCCCCCACCCACCCAAACACTGGGGTCACAGGTCACAGCCCTATCATGCTGTCCCAGGTTTTTACCTGGATGCTGGGGGTCTGAACTCAAGTCCTCGAACTTACACAGAAGCTTGTTCCCACTAAGCCGTCTCCCAGGCCCGCACTCAATATTATTTCAAAGACACATCCTCTTGTGTGTATGTTATTTTTACTGTTGTGACTTGGCAGAATTCACAATACTCCTGGCATGGGCATTTCACTGTTTCCTGGCTTTGTTTTTGAAATTACGAACCACATTGCTTTGGATACTTTTGTAACTATCTCTGTATGCAAATATTTGACAAGTCTCTCTGTGGTCTTTTACCCAGAAATGGCTCTCACTGTGACGCTGTTTGGTTCCTACAAATTGCTTTGTAGTATATTTCGAGGCCAGGTATTATAATGCTTTCTTCTTTTTTACTCAAGATTGATGTAGGTACTAGTATTTGCGTGTGCTTCCATATGAATATAAGGATTGTTTTGTTTTCTATGAAGAAGGTTGGGCTAGGGATATAGATCAAAAACTCTATTCGTAGCTCATCTAGCATATACTTAAGGTCTCAGGATCAGTCCTTACCTGGAAAAAAAAAACAGTCAAAATAACAAGAAACCTGTCAAGGCTCATGTCTAGGATCCCAGTACTTGGTTGGCTCAGCCAACATTGGTGCATTTGAAGCCGGCTTGTACTCTACAGCGACGTCCTGTCTCACACATAGAAAGAATGATGTTTGCTGTAGGATTTTGGCAGAGACTTCTTTGAGGAAGAAGCATTGCTTTTTGTTCTTGGTTTGCTAACTACTTCTATTATGGGTGCATTTAGTTTTTATCAGATAGTTCTTCCATGGAGGGAAGGTGATGGGTTCCATTTGGGTGCGTGGTGTTGGGACTGCCCGGGAAGCACCCCGGGAGGCCCTGGGTCTGGGGAGCTGAAGCTCAGCCTAGAGCGGTGGGTTGAGAGTGGAGTCTGCAGCAGCTTACGGGTGGCGGTGGTAAGTGAGATCGCACTGCCCCGGGAAGGCGGAGAAGGTTAAGGAACATCAAAGAAGCAGAAGGAGGGCTGGAGAGATGGCTTAGAGGTTAAGAGCACCGACTGCTCTTCCAGAGGTCCTGAGTTCAGTTCCCAGCATCCACAAGGTGGCTCACAACCATCTATAATGAGATCTGGCGCCCTGTTCTGTATACTAAATAAATAAATCTTTAAAAAAAAAAAAAAGAAGCAGAAGGAAAGGGGGAGTTGTGGGTCAGAGATGCTGGAGAGCAAGCCAAGGATGATTAGAGTTTGGGAGCTCAGCGTTCACTAACTAGCATTGAAGGCTTCCTCGGTGTGTTAGTTACTTGTCTTGTTGCTGTGCTAAAATACCCTGATAAAAGCCACTTAAGGAAGGCAGGGTTGGCCAAGCTCTGGTGACGCACACCTTGAGTCCCAGCACTCGGGAGGCAGAGATAGCCGGATCTCTGAGTTCGAGGCCAGCCTGGTCTACAGATTGTGTTCCAGGACAGCCAGGGCTGACAGAGAAACCCTGTCTTGGAACACCAAAAGAAGAAGAAGAGGAGGGGGAGGCGTGTGGGAAGGGGAGGAGGAGAAGGCTGAAGCCAAGTTTAATGGATTCAGGAGTGACAGGTAAGGAGGAGATGGGAATGGCTAGGGGTGGAGAGAGATGTAAGAGAAGCAAGCTGTTTTGTTTTAGGTTGAGGGCGGCTGTGCCCCAGTCAGTGTGATACATGGCTGGGGTAAGAGCCATACTTCATGGCTTCTCCTCAGCGGACTCCAGCATGGGATGGGGAGCTGTTCACAGTTACATTTTACCCACTCTGAAGGAAACAAGTTCTTTAATTTTTGTTTGCTTTTAAGATGGGTCTGGGCCGGGCAGTGGTGGTGCACGCCTTTAATCCCAGCACTCGGGAGGCAGAGGCAGGCAGATCTCTGTGAGTTTGAGTCCAGCCTGGTCTACAGAGTGAGTTTCAGGACAGGCTCCAAAGCTACACAGAGAAACTCTGTCACAACCACCCCCCCACTCCCCACCCCCGCAAAAAAAGTGGATCTCAGGTTGTTCACTGGCCTCAAATTTAATATGCAACTGAGGCTGGCCTTGAACTCTTGATTCTCCTGTTTCTACCCCGAGTGCCAGCATTAACTGTGTGCATCACCACACCCAGCTAAATTTGTTTTTTTTTAAAAAATATAAACCCCAGTGAATCTCTTTTCCCCAAAGACACAGCCCCTAGAAAACTGCAGTTCTTATTACATGCTATTATAACAAGAATTTCAGAAGATGTATTTACATTTATTTGTAAAAGTGACTGGCCTCCGATGGTTCTGCGTCGTCCTCTGTCTACTGATAGAAGCAGTGACCTCAATTCATGTGAAGAGAGCAAAATGCTGGGCAAACACCTGTGTGCCAGGTAGTCGTGTGTCCTCTGTTTACCCATTGACACTGTGTCCCAGCTTTTCCATGCTCTCAGCAGGTGTCCACTGGAGACTGAGCAAACCAGGTCTTGGTCTGTTTTCCTGTGTGTGGAGCTCTGCCATCTAGCAAAGGGAGTGAGTGTACAGGCTGGAGGAGGCAGAACCTTCCTGATGCCAGAAGTAGTCTTGGGGGATGCTTTCAGAGTCTGAGGTTTCTTGAAGGAGGAGGAGTTTGGGCTACAAGTCGGGAAGGTCCAGGGTCAACAGGTAAGGAGGTGGCAGGTAGGGTCCCTGGAACCTGGGCTAGCCGCTTTGGGAGATGTCACTAAAGCCTCCATTCGCAAGGGAAAATGTCGCATGCTGAGTTGCTTTGCTGTGCCCGGGGGCTGGACAGAGAGTTCCAGAAAACTCAGGCTTCTGCGTTCCCGGCTCACAGAAGTCCCCTTTACATTCAGGCGATGCTGTAGCTAGTTCTCCTGAGGGAAGGGAAGAAGCCGAGAAGGAAGAGATGTAAGGTGAGGGTCTCTGCCCAGTCACAGGGTGCCACAGAAGTTTCAGTGGCAGTTCCGTGTCTTGCCAACAACTCTCCCCTCACAGGCCTACGAAAGCCACAACCCAGTTCCTCCCGTCCCATCAGGCAAGTCCCCAACCTCTAGGCATTGTTGGGGTTGAGAGAGTGATCTCTGGGGCCCTTTAGCTGAAGGCTGATGTTATCAGCTGTGAGAAGTGAGGGGCTGCTGATAATGCCGCCTTGTGTGTCCCGTGTAGAGATGGACAGTGACTTGTGTGTTTGTGAGTAGGAACATCTGTGGGCCAGATGTGTGTTGATGTGGCAGCACACACTTCCTCATAGGTGCCTCTTTGGCCTTGGGTCCTGTGCTGAGCTGCTGGGATAGAAGGATTCACGTGCTATATCCCCAGCTGCAAGATGTATGGGAGGGGAAGGACGGCCCAGACAGCGACTCAGCAGCCATGGGAGGGAAGAGCGGGAGGCTCCCGGGCTCGGGCACCGGGGCAGACCATGAGTCTACTCTCTGAGACGGAGATCCAGAAGAAGTGTGGGGAGAGGATGAGCTCAGGTGAAGGCTTCCCGCATCTGGCTAACGTGCTGGTGGGACAGCCAGAACAGCTGTGCAAGGAGTGACGTGCCCGGATGTGGAACTTGACGGAAGTGCCGGGCAGAGGGTAACTTGAGTCACCAGGTGTGAGGTGTTCTAGATGACATGAATAGAGGGCTGCAAGGGAGATCTAGGGATCCCTCTCATCCCCTATCTACCCAGTAATCCAAGGGAGAAGATTGAGGATGAGAGTAGAGATGGAAGGAAGTCTGGGAGCAAAGAGTGTCACTGAAGCTAAGGCAGGCAGCCCGAAATCCGATGGCTTGGGTGTGTGTGTGTGTGTGTGTGTGTGTGTGTGTGTGTGTGTGTGTCCGTGTGTCCCTTAGGCTCGTGTACCCATGTACAAGCACTACCCATGTGTACCCATGTACAAGCACTGCCCACCTCCTGAGGCTTAGCTGGGCGGAGGTGTCCTGGCTTGGCGTCTTGGGAGTTGGGCCAGCCATGAGGATGCACAGACCAATAAGGATCATACAGGTGGGCACCGCACCAATGAGGACCTTGAGGGTGACGACCACTTCCTCTGCTTGCTGGCAGGCCCCTGCCTTATACCCCGCGAACCTGGAGAAACACCACCCCTCAATCCTGTCAGCTTTGCTGAGCATGACTCCTTGGGTGAGAAGTCATAGACATGGCGTCCCCACCTTCTCCTGAAAACTGACTTCTAGCCAGGTTGGGTATGTGAAGGGCCAGAGAGGAGTCCAGAGCCCCTTTCTTAGTCCTGATGATGGGTTTCCCCCACACTCCATGGAGTGGAGCATGCACTCCAGACTCATGGGTGACCTCTAGGAGGGGGTTCTGTCTCCTCCCCTTCCCCCCCCACCCCGGTCTTCTGTGCTTTTGGTATACCCCAGCCCTGGGACTGACTGACTCCAAACCGAGGGTGGAGATGCCCAGGGCGCCTGCTCCTGAGAGCTTGGTGAAGAAGACGTAGGATGAGTAGAAGATCGTCTCCACGCCTGGGCCATGCTGGTGCTGCAGCTGGAAGTCATCCACCACATCTGGCAACATGGACCTGGGGGGTGGGGGCGCATGGAGTTAGCCCTCTTCCCTTTGAAAATCAACAGACGGCCTGTGAGTCCTCAGGAGGGCAGAGACCAAGTTGGAGACCTCTGCTCAGGACCAACCCACAGCATCCAGCAGGATGTCTGTGTTTCCCTCTGTTCTGTGGTTGGCTCTTTTTTTTTTTCCCCCTGAGACAGGGTTTCTCTGTGTAGTTTTGGTGCCTGTCCTGAAACTCACTCTGTAGACCAGGCTGGCCTCGAACTCACAGAGATCCGCCTGCCACTGCCTCCCCAGTGCTGGGATTAAAGGCGTGTGCCACCACCACCCGGCCACTGGCTCCTTTTGAGGAAGGCCCCACCCAGGGAGTCGGACAGCAGGCAGAAGAAAGACTCCCTTATGGGAGGGTATGAGGCGCCCAATCCCCTGTCCCTTCATCCAGCCTACCAGGGTAGCAGCAGGGACACAGCAATGCTCACACCAGAGACAAAGGCCACAACATAGGCCACAGGCGCTGAGGGCACAGCAGCCAGCAAGATAGAAAAGGGCACCATCACCTGGGGAGAGAGACCTGTGAGCTGGTCCTCCACAGTTTCCCCGGCTTGCTTTCTCATAACAGGCTCAGCCTTTGTTATGCATGATAAGCCCTGCACCTGGTCCTGTGCTAGGCCCAGCAGACCCAAGGGAACCCTGGTCTAAACCCTGCTGAGCTCAGGCTCCCTGGTTACCTCCTCAGCCACCCCCAAGCTTTGCGTCTTGCTTCACTCACACAGATCCCGAACGCGGATGTCCTCTTCCCAAATCGCTGGAGAACCCACTCCCACAGCGGGGTGCTCAGCACGGCTGAGATCTGTGAGCAGACAGCATCATCCCACAAGGGCCCTGAGGTCCACACCTTCCCCCAGACCTCAAAGTCCTTGCTTTTAGGTAGGCCACCCAACCTCAGACTGTCTGGTTTGAACCAGTAACTATTAACTATGAGTCTGACCCCCAACTCCACCCTCTGCTGAAAAGAGACTGAAACAAGACGTGATCATTAGAACTCTGGCCACAGAGGTTCTCCCTCAGGCTCCCAAGGGCTCCAGTCTCCACCTCCTTGGTCCCCTTACCAGGATGGTTAGCACCAAGCCCTGGACGTGGTCTTGTAGCCGGGAGGCATGTAAACAGAACAGGACCAGGTAGCTTTGTTCCACCTGAGATGATGCACAGGGAGCAGTCATATGCAGGGGATTGGCAGGAATTCAGAAGTCATGTGTAAAGGGAAGGTCTCCAGTAAGGCCTCTTCACCAAGTCCTTGAACTCCAAGGATTCCCCCTCACCACAGATACGAGCGTCATTCCTCCTGCACTGTCCCCGTTTGTATAGTTAGGTAGGATCAGATAGACTTGACTAGACTCCAGGTAATAGAGAATGTCCTCCCAGACACCATCGACTTCTTGGAACCCCAGTCACACAAGCCACACCCAGGTCTTCCCTCTCAGCCCCTCTCAGCCCTGTGTGACATCCCCTATAAAACTAAAACCTACACCAGGCATGGTGATGCATGCTCGTAACCCCAGCGCTTGCGTGGAGGCGGGAGAATCAGGAGCTGATGACCGGAATCAGCCACATAGCAAGTTTAAAGCCAGCCTGGGCTACATGAGACTCGATTTCCAATGCCTGTTTACAATAAGCACAGCCAGAGCAAATCAAAGGTCACTCGGTCAGCGGTACCTGGACGGCAGCCGAGATGAACAAGAAGGAGACCACCAGACTCAAGTAGGGCGGGTGCCGGGAAGTGATGGCCAGCCCCGCGAAGAAGCTCAGGCCTGAACCTGAGGCTGGGGCGGAAGTGTCTGCAAAACAGGAAAGTGATACCTGGATTGGGAGAGTTTAAAAACTCACCCCCCGGGGGGTGGGGTGGGGGGGAGTCCTGCTCCCAGCTTCTGCCTCGCATGTCCTCACTGCACCCCCATACCTGGCTGCTCCTTCACTCCTAGGCACAGCAAACTGCCACACACAGGGTAAGTCAACGCAACCACAGCGGCTGCGAGGCAATAGAGCCGAGCCTGCGGGACGGGACAGAACGGCGCTGAGGGTGACGTTTCCAGACCACGGAGGAAAAGCAGGAGCACCCCTCGATGCCAGCGGAAAGCTCATCCCCCCCAAGCCCAAAGATGCTGCCTTCTGCTCCTCCGGTTCGCTCAGAGTTAGACCTCAGAGCTCGGGACAGTCTCGCTTTTCTGGTGACTCTTGGCCCCCATAGGGAAGGGAACATCCGAGCCACCAGAGGTCAGCATGCTTGATGTCCCATCTTAGTCAGCAAACGGGCATTGCTGCTAACTTCTGTGTCCTAGATCCTGGGGTCACAAGGACGAGCAAGTGGCCCCTCATCCGCAGTAAGGGGTGGGGGCAGTGGGGAGGGGTGCGCGCATCCATAGCCAGTCAACAGGAGTGTGATGGATGGTGACCCGGATGAAATACAGAGAAAATAAAGATGCAGATAAAGAGAGGCACGGGATGATAGCCAACGAGGACAGAGGGCGCTTCTGGGAGCGGGAGGAAGGGAGCTCCAGGCACTGCCCTGGCCTCGCCCTGGAAAGCACACTGTTCTTGGCTCCAGTTCTCTGTTTTCCTTGTCCTGAAGTTGTTGGTAATTTTGTGTGTGAATTTTTTTTTTTGAGGCAGGGTCTTTGTGTAGCCCAGGCTGGCCCTATAACTCACTATGTAGCCAAGGATGACCTTGCACTTGGGATCGTCTTTGCTCCCACCTCTGGGTGCTGGGGTTACAGCTGCGACCCATCATTGGCTTCGATGGTGCTGAAGGGCTTCAAACTTGCGGGGCAAATCCTCTACCGACTGAGCTGTAACCCGGTCCCTGCCTTCTCTGCTGTTCTTGTCCATTAGCGGTTTTTGTCATCCCCACCCCCCAAGAAGCACACACACTGAGTGCTTTGTTTATTTCGAGGCTGGTTTCATATAACCCAGGCTAGCCCTAAACTGACTGTATAACCAGAGATAGCCTTGAACTTCTGCTCTTCCTGTCTCCGCCTCCCAGGTGTTCCGCCATGCCATGCCTCGCTTGTGGCTTTGCTGTTACTATTTGGTTGGCTTTGGCCATGCCTGGTGATTGAATTTATTTAGTACCTCATGCATGCTGGTCAAGTGCCCTCCCACTGAGCTACATCCCCTAATGGTTTGTTTTCTCTCTCTCTCTCTCTCTCTCTCTCTCTCTCTCTCTCTCTCTCTCTCGCTCTTTCTCGCTCTCTCTCTCTTTCCCCCCTCCCTTCCTTCTTCCCTTCCAGACAGGCTTTAGTGGAGAACCTGACAGGTATTGGGGCTTGTGAGTTCAGCCAGAGAAGTAGGAAAAAGGTGAGGGCACATAAAGTAGGCATCCCCACCCAAGAGGAAGAAACGACAGAAGAGCATCCCTGGAGGAAGGAGTTGACTCCGCAGAGGGAGTCCTGGGTACCTCAGACACTTACGGCATCTGGGGAGACAGCGGTACTCCCGGGGAGCTGCACTCCAGGATCCTCACACCTCCGAGACCCATGGGCACTGGACACGATGAGCCCATGGACGGCGGCTCCCATCAGCGTCCCTGCCATCTCCATGGTCATCCCTGGAGACAGAGTATGTACAAGGTGACGCGGCGAGCTGCAGGATCTGAAAGAGAGCAGCTTCCGGCCGGAACTCAGCTGTGCTGTACTCACGGTATGCAGTGGCCGAGTCTCGCTCTCTGGGGCTGGGAGTGAGGATCATAGTGAGCGCCGTGTAGGGAACCTGGAAGAACTGGATGGCCCCTCAGAGATTAGGATGGCCTCTACCATCCATACTGTCACTCAGGTTCTATGTCTCCTTCCCTTGCCACTTTGCTATGCAAAAGCCAGCAGCCACCCTGTCCCATCCAGGTTCCTAAAAGACCCAACCATCTGAATCTCAAAGCTAAGGGCTCAGAAGCAAAGCCCTGAGCAGAGCCAGGATTATTAGTGACAGGTTTCTAAGCACCAATGGGCAGGTCAGAGCAGTGAGTCCGGACCTACAACACCCTGACTCCAAATAGAAATCCTGTCTGGCATTGGGAATCACCAGAACCAGGCCGAGGAGGGGGCGATCACACACTTACCGTAGCCAGGGCCTGGAACAGGCAGTAGAAGGTGGTATACCAGAGCCCACGCAGGCTGGTGAATGGGGGCAGGAACCACAGGAAGAAGTAGGCCAGGGCAATGAAGGGCATGCAGCCCAGCGCCCTGTAGAGGCACAGCTAAGGCACTATGCCTACCACACGGGGCACCAAGGACTCAGCAGGGACAACCTCACCCTGTCTCTGCCCTTTGACGGGACCCTGGAGCTGGGGCTCTCAGGGAGCCACAGAGACAGGGGGAAGCGAGGGTAATGGAAGGAGGGGCATTCACTGTTGGGACTCTGGCCAGGGCCCTTGGAGGTGCTGTTCCCTGTACTCAGAACACTGGAGAACTGGGGGTTCACTTACTGATAGCGCATTTGGCTAGCACATATAAGGTACTTCGTTTGATTTCCTGGAGCACACGTACATTGTTTTTCCTCTAGGACCTTCTAGCCCAGTCCCACTCCATGAGCCACAGACAGAGTGGGGAGCCCCGGAAGCTTGTTCAGCCCTGTGCCCACTGATGAGGAACGGACAATCCCTAAGCATGTCTCTGGACTACTGTAAGACTCATATTCTGACCTAGCTTATCTCCTGCACCGCACAGGCTTGTCCTCTAACCATCCACAGGTATCAACCAAGAAACAGGCTGTGACAGTGACCTAGGGCCAAGGGGTTGGGAATCTAAGCACCAAGGGACTGCTCACCAAGGCATCAGTCGTCCAGATCTTGTCCTTCTGCTTTTGTTGATGAAGAAGCCAGCCACAGGGTCCGCAACTGCCCCAGACACCTTCCCTCCGAACAAGGCAAGTGACACCTGGGCAGCGGGGATCTGAAACCATCAAGAAGATACAGCCAAGGCTCCGCAAAACCAGAGACTATAGTCAGGCTCGCTTGCCGTGGAAAGGGGGATCTGGGAACTCATCTAGAGCTACAGCCATGGCGGAAAGGGCTCCTTCCCGGGACATGATTCCAGAAAGCTCTGAGGGACATCGGAGCCAGTGAGGAGAGGTGTAAAGTCACTGTTCTCAACCTCTGGGTCACGACCCCACGGGGGTTGCATATTGGATATTTGCATTATGATTCATAATAGTAGAAAAATTATAGCTATGAAGTAGCAATGATATAATTTTATGGTTAGGGGTCACCACAACATGAGGAACTGTATTAAAGGGTGGCAGCATTAAGAATGTTGAGAACCAGTGAGATAGAGTTTCATGTCTCAAGGTCAGTATGTAGGCAAGGATGACCTTCAACTTCCAACCCTGTCTCTGCTACTGGGATTATAGGATTGTGCCACTGTGCCCATTTCATGCATGCTAGCGTGGTAGTTTGAATGTAATTGGCCCCATAAGCCCACAATCTCATAGGGAGTGGCATTATTAGGAGGTGTGGCTCCGTTGGAGTGGGTATGGCCTTGTTGGAGGAAGTGTGTCACTGTGGGGGCGGGCTTTGAAGTTTCATATACTCAGGATACCGCCCAGTGAGTCAGTTGGCTTCCTGTTGCCTGCAAGATGCAGGATACTTGCTTATTCCTCCAGTACCATGCCTGCCTGCATGCTGCCATGCTCCCTGCCATGATGGACGGAACCTCTGAACTGTAAGCAAGCCACCCCAATGAAATGTTTCCTTTAGAAGAGTTGCTGTGGTCATGGTGTCTCTTCACAGCAGCAGTAATCCTGACTAAGACACTAGACAACCACTCTACCTGTTGAACTATCCCCATCTTGTTTTGTTTCGAGACAGGGTTGGCCTCAAACTAGCCATGCTGCCGAGCCTGGGTTTGAACTCCCGATCCTCGTGCCTCTGCCTCTCTGCTGAAATGCTGGGATTACAAGTGTCTGTCACCACATCCGGCTATTATTTTCCTAGTACAAGCAGGATGTAATGAGTATCTTTGAAGAGATTTCCCTCCATGGCCTTTTTATCGTTGCTCTCAAACGTGGGTCACAGGGCTAGCGACCAAAACCAAAGTGGCAGCATGGGTGGAGAGGAGGTAGGAAGACCAGGGGGCCCTGGGCGGCTGCCCACACTCACCTGTGCCACATCGAGTAGGAAGGGCTGCAGGTAGAAGGCCGAGGCGCTGGAGGCCACCTGGTTGGGGACTCCACCAATGCCATAGCACACCTTCGTACAGACTGACAGGCGACCGGTCCTGTTGTCCTGGGGGAGACACAAGAACTAACCCCTATCCCTAGAGACACAAAACAGCTCCCCACACCCCAATGACTCTCATAAAAATCCTAGGTTCCCTGACTCAGTAACCCCAGCCTCATTTTGACCCCAGAGCATCCTAAAGGGAAGTGAGAGAGAATTAAAAAGCAGAATTCTAAACCGTGACCTCTAAACCATTCCGGGGGGGAAGTTCTTCCTTGCATACTGCCCCCATGCTTCCTGCCATAGCCACATAGTACTGAGTCAGTAATCAGAGTGAGCTGTGGGCCCCTGTATGACCCTGAATAAATCCCTTTATGTCTCTAGGCCATGTTTTCCTCATCTATCAGAGGCAATTGCCTGCCAGCTTCACAAGGTTGTCATGATGGTGGACCCGAGACAGTGGTTCTGAGAATCGATCGTTCAGTGTTTGGGTTTATTTTACACTTGTGTGTGCATGTGTGTGTGTGTGTGTGTGCGCGTGTGCGTGTGCGTGTGCGTGTGCGTGTGCGTGTGTGTGAGATGCATGCTCCACAGCACACATGTGGAGGTCACAGTTTGTTCTCTCTTTCCATCATGGGAACTCTAGGTATGGAACTCAGGTCATCAGGCTTGGTGGCAGGTGTTTACCCACTCAGTCCTCCAATGTTTGTGACTTTTGCAAGGCACCTGTCGAGTCCCCGGCATCAGCTGTGGTGGGGATGTGTACACCATAGACACCAGCAAACCTTACCCCTTTCCTTTTGGGAGGACTGTTTATCAACCCAGCAGTATCACAAAATAGTGAAGAGCCTGGAACATGGAATATCACCGTCCCTCAGCCATCCAGCAGAGTCATAAACATTTGATTGCCAGCTCACAGCCCCACGTGGTCCAAACACGGCTCCTTGCTGCCATCCCACTGTGAAACCAGCTCCGCACCCCATTCGCCACATGGCATTAAATAACACTGGTGTTTGCTCAGTGGCTCGGGCCACACACAACCTTGGTCATCCTCGGTGGTTCCTGTCTTTTCCAGTTCCCCTGCCACATCTGTCAGGTGAGCCTCCTAAGTGGCTCCTCTGCCGCTAGTCCACTCCCCTGCAGCAGCCAGTGCTCTTTGTTCGAATAACATAAATCAGACTCTGTTTAAAACCAATAACTTGTCTGTCTTTATTGTCTAGTAAAAAGCCAAGTCCTCGAAATGGCCTACAGGAATCCCACTCTGATCCCACTCCCTCCCTTCCAATAGCTTTCTTGGTGTTAGGTTCTTATTGTTCAAACGCGTTGAGACTGTTGCTTCCTCAGGGCCTTTGTGTTTCTGTCTTCTCTAGAAGGTTCTTTTGTGTCTTTCAAGAGTTGATTGCTTGCCATTCAGGTATGAGTTTAAATGTTCCTTCCTCAGAGACATTCCCTGACAACTTGGGTCTCTGAATCGCCCAGACTGTCTGGTATATTCTCATTTATTCCTATTTCTCCCCCTGACCACTTAAGCTGAGAGCATAAATGTTCTCCCTCAATGTGGTGCCTCTTGTACCTGGGCATACTGTAGGTGCTTAATATATGCTTTTAAAGCAATACATGGCCACGAGGACACTGTAAAGTACTCTATGTTCAGATAAGGCTAGGAATCATTTTTTTCATCCTTTGCCTGGGGACGGATGCAGGATAGAAAGCTAAGACTTTGTCCATTTCAGTATCTTGTAGGCACCACAGGCAGGCTACATGGAAGGGAAGGTCTTCCCAGATAAGGTTTATCTCCCACTTCACACATGCTTCCTACCCCAGGCGAGAAACCGCTCTCAATGCTGGGTGCATTCTTTTTCTGATATTTGTGTGAACATTATTGCAACTTCCAGAAACGCTTAGTTGGTAGAATCCAGCGTGAGTGGATTCCCATCCCATAATGAGTCTCTTGTTTCCCCCTAAATGGGCCTGTAGAGGTTTTAGATAATAGAAGACCAGCCAGACAAACTCCAAAAGAAACTGAGATGATACAGTCTTGCGGTCTTCCGAATGATCATTTGGTCGCCTTACCCCGTCAGTCCACGGAATCTACATTTTACAAACTGACAAACTGACTGTGTGATCTAGGCAGGGCTAGCCTTGCTGAGCCTCAGTTTCTTGACAAGTAAAATGCAGACGTATACACCCCATAGCATTAAGGATAATTAAACACTGATGCTTCGTGGCAATCTGTTTTCTTTCTTTCTCTCTCTTTCTTTCTTTCTTCTTGCCATTAATATATCACCTCAATTCCCTGAATTTTTCTGGAAAATGAGAGTCCCCAAAGGGCCCTCTGCCCCACTCCCAGTATGGGAGAAGTCTTACCATGATAGACAAACCCTCTGAAACTGGGCTACATCTTTACTCATCCCCTTTTCTGGTTGTTAAGATTGTTCAGGTCTTACTATGCTTCCCAGAACCTCAAGGAATCTTCCTGCCTCAGTCTCCCCAGCCAGGAACTGGGATTACAGGCACACCGAGGCACCAGGGGTCTCCCAGTTGAGGGGTGCCTCTTTCTTTTGCTCTGAGTTGCCTGACTCAGTAAACACTGAGTCAAGATAGGGGATGGGGGGGGGGCGGGAGGAGGGAAGAGAGGGGAATCTGTGGTTGGTATGTAAAATGAATAGAAATCTCTCAATAATAATAATAAAAGATAGAGGATGGAGGTGGTAGTCTATTGAAGCCGCAGGAACACCTTGCCAGTGGAACTGAGGTAGGTTCTGAACAGAGCGCGACACAGCCCGAGGCTCTTAACCCCTCTCTGGCATTGGCAACAGTCTCCACATTAGCCCCAGCCCGAGCTCTACCCACGAAGAGAACGCAGAGGGTCTAAGAACACCTTGGATTCCAATCTACCCTCTCCCCATACCTCCAAAGCCCCCCGCCTGGGCACCCGGGGGATCGTCTTTCTAAGGAGAACTCGGTATCTGGGCAGCACCGGGGTTTCAGAGGGAGGCTAAGTCCATTGGAGCAGCTTTGAGTTTGGGGAAGGCAGGCAGCCCCCTTACCAACATCTGCCGGGGCTGAAGCGGTGGCCTGGGATCAGGACACTAGAGACCTGGTCCTTCCTGCCTGCCTATTAGTTGCTTCACATCAGGACTCTGGGTGCCATCCCGTTTTCTCTAGGGTGTTCCAGTGGGGCACCAAACTCTATACTCTGCCCAACATCTGGATAAAGGGCTATGGCAGGCGCCTGTCTTCCCTGCCCATGGGAGCGCCGAGCAGCCCGCTCCCCTCTCGCCCTCCTGGCGCTCACCGAGCCTGGCTCCTGGGTGTGAGGCTCTGCAACCGGAGCCGGGGTGGGTTCGTGAGGCGACATCCGCAGGCTGCTTGTCTCTGACTGTGGCAGCGCCGGGCGCTATTGTACGAGGGGTGGGTCCGGCCAAGTGGGCGCGGCCCGGGCCCGCGGGAGCCCCAGCAGTCCCTCTGCAGTCTGTGGCAGCAGCTTGAGGATACCCAACACCTCCAAGTTTCCGGTCAATCGCCACACACCTGGGGAAAGCTGCCAAGCCCTCTGGGACGATTTTCTTTTCTTGGCCAACTTGTAGACAGAAACTCTCAGCTAACCCCACCTTGGGTGAAAGCCAGCAAATAAATTTATTCTTTAAATGAAGCAATACACTCCACTTGTTCAGACTAAAATTATAGCTGTACTTCAGGCTTTCAGTACACATTTCCCAGGCTTTCCTATAGGTAACTGGTAGGTACGTCTGTGCAACCAAGTCCTGGCAGATGAGTTAAGTGTGGTGTGTGCAATATTCCAGGAAGTGCTTTAAAAGACAAAGGACCAGCCGGACGGTGGTGGCGCACGCCTTTAATCCCAGCACTCGGGAGGCAGAGGCAGGCGGATCTCTGTGAGTTCGAGGCCAGCCTGGACTAGAGTGAGTTCCAGGAAAGGCGCAAAGCTATACAGAGAAACCCTATCTTGGAAAAACAAAACAAAACAACAACAACAAAAAAGGCAAAGGACCACACTGTATAAATAAATCTCTTGTCAAAATAGTGTGACCTGCCTGCCTTGTATTATCAGACTGCTGAAACAATGGGCCCCAGAAATTAGTCACCCCTCAAAACAAAACAAAACAACAACAACCGCCCCCCCCCCCAAAACCAATACAACAAAATCAAAAAACTCTTTCTGGGAGAAGAGGCCCTGGGCAGCCAGAGAAGGAACTTCTTAGAGAGAGATCTCCACTTGTCTGTTAGTCCTGGCCGGACTGCTGAGTTCCACTCCCTTGCGGAGACGGACTGGGGAGGTCACTGGCCCCTTTGGTTACTCTCCTCACTGCGCTCACAGTGAATATGCCTCCTCCCTTTCCTCTATTCATCGGGCTCTTTGAGTTAGTGCAGGGAGGGTGGACTGCTCAACCCGGTGTGACCTTAAGTCCAGCAGCAATAGGTGCAATGTACATACTAGACCACTGTTCCTCAGGACACAGGCACAAGCTCAACTACATACAGTAAAATGACAAACTTTTTGCTGCAAATAATCACAACATGTGGCAAGGTATTCGTGTTCTCCCAAGTGTGGGAGATAACATTCACAAACTATAAAGCACTTGTAATGGGATATATACAAATAACTCTCTTAATAACAAAAAAAAATCTCATTTTAAAGATACACAGATAAACTATAAGGACATAAAAACATGCTCATGCTGGCTGTGGCTGTGTATGATCTTTTTTAGAGACAGTTTCTCTGTGTAGCCCTGACTGTCCTGTAACTCCAATTGTAGACCAGGCTGGCCTCGAACTGCCTCCCGAGTGCTGGGATTAAAGGTATGTGCCACCACGCCCAGATGGAGTTCCTTTTCAAGGAGATTCAAATTTCCAAAATTATATCCTGGTTGAATAATATAGTTGAATACATTTAAAAAAAATCATTGACTATTTTTTTTTTTTGTGCCTGGCGGTGCAGCTATCTTGAGAACCCACGTCAATTTATACTGAGATTATCTTTAGAAGATCTGTATTTTATAACTTTCCATAATGAGTATGAATTATGAGTATGAATTGTCTGTGCCAAAACAATTTAAAGCAAATGACAAAGAGCAAGATATAAAAGTAATGAGTAAGCCACTTCTAACTGAGGATCCAGTGTGGTAAGCAACTTTTTACCGAAGTGGTTTGTTCTTTGGCAAAGAAAAACAAAGGAGTGTATTAATAAACCTCCATGCTATGTCATTAGAACAAATACAACTGTTGGATTGGTACTAAAATATCACTTTTTCACATTTCTGAGCATGAAAATAACATTGGTTAAAGAAAAGGCATCTAATAAATAATCATTGATTCTCAAACTGAATGACTTAGCCAAATAAACAAATGACAAAAGCATTCACATGTACTATTTTATAACAAGTGTAAATCATTTAACAAACCCTTTCAATGAACAGTGTTTTAAGAGAACAGTTCGTTTAACCATTAGCAAAATACCACATCAAAAATATATTAAGGCACTAAAATAAATACACACATACTGCATTGTCAATGTATGGAAACATCATGACGCACACTGACTGATAAAGTAAGATTATTTTAGCTTTGAATGCATAGTAATCTAGCTAGCAGATTCGGATGTGTAAATCAGACATGTACTTCTGTATGTCCATCTTATCCACAAGATAAAGGACTAGTGACAGATTTGAAGCAATGACTTGGGTCAGATTGCATTCCATGCCTAAGATGTTCATTCATTTCAGGTTTTGCTTCCCTTGGCCATTTATGCTTCCAAAGTCAACCTGTAGTAAGGAGTCTAGCAGCTTCACAACTTCTGAATTTTCAAGTAAACAGCTTTATCAGATGATTATCATCAAGAACATGCTTTACACTAACATTTTCACAGTTTAAAAAAACACAAGTTATTGCTGATGACTGTTCTTCCTATTGGAACCTCCCACTGGCATGTACTCTACAAGATACACAAGAAACCCCCTGTAGCTTCTGGTTAATGAGGAACTGGAAAATCCACAAAGGAGGCTTTTTTTTACTTTTTTGGTAGATACATGAGAAACATTCTTGTGAGAGGCCTTTCATAAATTACAACTATGCATATAGAAAGGTTTCATGATAGACCTATATGAAACATTTCCTTAGAGATTCCTGACTATATTAACAATCAGAAGGTTTTGTCTATATTTGAAAGATAAAATTATCGATTTTACTATCCTCTTTTTTTTGTTAAGAACGTAATTATTTCTATTTGCTAAAGAGGGCTCTGATATTGCTATGTAAACATTATTGACAATAAATAGTTTTCTATTAGGTACCTGCTGAATTCCTAGGTTAAGGGCGAAATGAAAATGCTCTCCTTCATCCTCTATTCCACACCGCCCACCTAAAAAACAGGGTGTGGCATGTGGAAGGCTGGAGCTAGGGAAGAGAGCGTCTTTAAAATAGGACTACAAAAGAAAGGGCTGATCCAGGACATCCAGTTATGCACACGGGTTCCCTCTTGGCATTCCTGAGCCTTAGTTAAAACCTCATTCACACTTTCCAGTCCTGCCTCATCTGTGGCTGGGAGGCAAGGCACAGGTTACATCATGAATGGTTCAGCTTAAAGAGAACAGCCTGAGTAAATTTAGCTAAGTGAGGTGCAGAAGCTGCATTTCAGCGGAGTGGTTCACTGTCTGTGCTGAAGCACACAGGGTGGATTTCCACAGGACTCAGGCCTAGCACAGAACTCCTGCATCGTTATACTAACTACCTACGAATCACTCGAGATTCCAGATGGAGCTGGCACCATGTCAGACACAGTGAATCATGTCTGTGGAAGGTGGCAGCAATGGACTTTGTTTATTTAAGACAGTCTCATTCTGCAGCCCAAGCTGCCCTTGACCTCATGGTAATCCTTCTGCCTCAGCCTCCCAAGTGCTATGATCACAGATGTGGGCTACCATGTTTGGCCAGGTATTGGCCCTTTGGAAAGGACTCCCAAATGACCCTCTGTCAGGATGTCTTTCCTAGTCACGTAGTGTTACGTTTCTTTTTCACTCTCACCAATGAAAAGGGCTGTCTTCTAGAGGCTATAAAGTGAGTGATACTACAACATAGTGAATACAGGAACAGGTGAGAATCATTTATATTCATTGTCAGACAAACTTTTGGGAAAAAATACAATGTCACCTTTCTTAAGAAATCTTTTCATGCTTTGGAAATTATTATTTATTTAAATCTTTTTAAAAATTAACGTGTATATGTGCTTTTCCTGCCTTGTATCACTTGAGTGCAGTACCCACAGAGGTCAGGAGAGGGAGCTGGATGCCTTGAATCAGGAGTTACAGGTGATTGTGAGTTGCCGTGTGGGTGCTGGGAATTGAACCTGGGTCCACAGCAAATGCAGCCAGTGCTCTGAACTGCTGAGCCACCCCTCCAGGATTGAAAGTTGTTATTATAGAGACAGGACTTTGCTGTGTTACTTAGGCCGATCTGAATTCCTGGGCTCAAGTGACCCTCCCCTCTCAGTTTGCTGTGAGGGTGTGAGTGACAGCTACAGGGCATGCACCACTGTGGGCAGCTTGGAAGTTATTATTTTTAAAGGAATAAATATCTGAAAACTTTGAGGTTCCCCCCCCCACACCCCACAGGGTTTCTCTATATAGCCCTGGCTGTCCTGGAACTCACTCTGTAGACCAGGCTGGCCTCGAACTCAGATCTGCCAGTGTCTGCCTCCAGAGTGCTGGGACTAAAGGTATGCACCATCACCTGGCCAAACTTTGAGTTTTTAATACTATTATACATATAACTCACATAAAAGGTTTATAGCATACATCCAGCACCCTATGGATACTGTTGCTGGTATAGGCCACTTAATCCTTGCTACAATGTATACCTTTGTTTTTATTAATTTTTATTTGTATTTTAATTACTTAAGGTTTAATTCAATAGACCATTTGCAAAATAGTTCACTCACATAAAAGGTTTATAGCATACATCCAGCACCCTATGGATACTGTTGCTGGTATGGGCCACTTAATCCTTGCTATAATATATACTTCACTTTTGTTTTTATTAATTTTTATTTATATTTTAATTACTTAAAGTTTAATTCAATAGATCATATGCAAAATAGTTCATTTAACTTATTTCCAAACACGGGGATTTAATCTGAAAATTGAAACATAATTGGTTTTCAGTTAAAAGTATAATACACTAAGCATGTTTCCTAGAATGTCTATACAGGTTTACTGTGATATGAAGTAGAAAATGTGTACTTTTTGTGAACTGAAGAAACATTCACAAATCTGTAATATGATAAAGTAGATTTTAGTTGAGTGGTGCAAATGAATGGCTAATTACAAATGTTAGCTAAAAATTAATTCCTAGTTTTTGGGAAGAAAGTAGGAAGAGAATCAACTGTGGTTCTTGGAGAATTTTTGTGAATGCTTTTACATTTCATATTTAAAAGGTTTTTTTTGTTTTTTTGTTTTTTTTTTTAATTTGCTGGGGATTGATTGAACCTGGGGTCTCATATATGCTTGGCAAACACTCTACCATTGAACCCATCTACCTCAGCCCATAAAATTACATATAGAAGGTATAGAAAAGTGTGTAGGCACATTAATACTAACATTGTACTAAGCTACACAATTTTATTCCTAAAAGATTATACATCTTAGATACTCTTGCTAAATTAATACTTGAATATCTCTTGCCATCACAGAGTGAAAACTGAGAAGCTGTGAGGGTTGGGTATAGGCAATACAATGATAACATTGATGCTTTTAACATGTCATGTACAATATTTAATGTATTGCTATTTAAAAACTGAGAGAGCTAACATATTAATATCTGCTACTTGGAAGTAATGTTTCAATGCTAATACTCTGCTAATTTAGACCACATGAAGATTAATTATGTAGCTATTTAATATATCATGTTGGTTAACTACTATTTGAAGACACACATTTTTTTCTGAGTGGCCTTTGAGAAAAGTGCATTAACTGTGGTTTCCAGTCATACATTGCTCTCCTAACTTGTGATTATTTAAACACCCTCCTAAGGAATTAAGTAGCACTCAAACCACAAGCTCAGGCAAACTGACTTCTGTCTCCCACTTCTGCATGTCCACTTCCAACCATCACTTCTCTCAGTCTCTCAAAACTCAAAACTATCAGAGTTTTCTAAAAGGCTCCGCGGTTTGCTGGAGTCTCTGAATGATTACAGCATTCTGTAAATCTGCTTCTTCCAATGTCAGCGTCTCATCCAGAAGTCTGAGAAAAGGAAGAGCCGTTGCCAGGGCAAAGGGGGGGCTTCTCTGAGATCCTTGGTATTTTTCAATGAAGTCTTTGATGTGGCTCACCCTGCAAAATACCACAAACTATTAATTTATGAAATCAACTTGTAGTATAGGTATTTATTTGGATTTGTTAAAATAGAGACTAGAGAAAGTTTTGTATGATATAACCAGTCATTTGTTTATTTGTTTTTTAAAGCAGTGCTTGGATTACAGGCCAGTGCTAAGTTTACAGATATGTGACACCATGTCCAGTTTATGTGGTACTAGGGATTGAACCCAAGGCTTCGGGTATGCTAGGCAGGTCCTTTACCATCTGAGCTACACAGCTACATCCCAAGCTCCCTATCCTTTGGGAATGAACCCAGAGGCTCAGACATGCTAGCCAAGAACTCCTACTAGTCAGCTGAAGCTCAGGTTCTAGGTGACTTTTAAATCTGATGTGTGTGTGCGCATGCACTCTGCCAACTGCGCCACATCTTCAGCCCATGATCATCGCACTCTTGAATGTCCATCAGTTAGTTCAACTCTGTGGGTTTTGGTTTTTCCAGTCAAGGTTTCTCTGTGTTCTCTGTGATCCATGCTCATCATGTGCCAGCTGTGCAGTGGTGCAAACTTTTTTTGTACTTTTTAATGATGGCGATCAAACCCAAGATTCTGTGCAAGCATTGAGATACACCTCCAACCTGTTATAAAATCTATTTTTTCAAGACAGGATTTCATGTAGCCCAGGCTGGTCTCGAACCTGCCATGTAGCTGAGGATATGTTTGAACTTCTTTTCTGATCCTCCTGCCTCTACTTCCTAAGCCTGGGATAGTGAGATCCTAACTCAAAAACAAATGAACAAACAAACAGAAACTACAAAAGATGAGAAAAATGCCTGGGATCCAGAGAAAGTTCAAGGCCTGCCTGGCAATTTGGTGAGAACTGTCCCACAGTTAATGCAAAGTAAAAACAGGATAGTTCAGTGGTAGAATACTGGCCTAAAAAACAAAAACAAAAACAAAAACAAAAAAAGAAACAACCAACCAACCAACCTACCTCGAAGAAGAAATGTAAACTTGAAACGCTGTAATTGTGGGTGAAAGCACTCGCTGCCAAAACTGACAACCTGACTGAGCTCCCAGGACTCAAGATGGAAAGAGAATAGACTCTCAGAAGTAGTTCTCTGACATCCCCACCCACGCAGGGTGCATGTGTACTCCCTACCTAACCACCCACTCACACAAGATAGACGGACGGACAGACAGACAGACAGACAGACAGATACATACATACATACATACATACATACATAGAATGTAAAAAAGCAGAGTGAATATCAAGGCCATTCTGATCTATATAATGAGTTCTAGGCCAGCTAGGGTCACATGGTAAGTTTTTGTTCTGTCTCACAACAAAAACAAACAAAAGAACAACAACAAAAAAACCCAACAGCAAACAAAACAACTATTCAGAAAATACAGCAACGCACTCTTATACACACACAAACACACAAAAAGAATAAAAAAAGATTCAAAGTAAAGGGAAGCAAAAGAGGAAAGATGATAGCCCTAGACCTGCCTCCTTGGGGAAACTATGTATGTGTCACTCCAGCTGGGAGATGTCTCTGTGGGCACGTGCACTTGCCATGCAAACCTGAGGAAATGAATTCAACCTGCGGAAGCCATGGAAATGTGGAAGGAGAGAACAACTTCACCAAGCTGTCCTCTGCCTGCCATAGCTCCTCCCCATCACATACACACTCACACACACACACACACACACACACACACACACACACACACACACACACAGAGCAACCAACAGACTTTAAAAGACGCATCCCTGAAAAAGAGAACCAACACTCCAATGGGAAAAAAGAAAGTCTAAAGCTTGGTATGGTGCGTGGCACATGACTACAACCCCGGCCTTCAGTCTGAGGCCAGCCTGAATGACACAGAAGGATGCAGAATAAGACCCTGTCTCAAACAAACAAACAAACAAGCAGACAGGCAAAACAAAAAAGCTGGGCAGTGGTGGCACATGCCTTTAATGCCAGCTCTTGGGCGGCAGAGGCAGGTGGATCTCTGTGAGTTCAAGGCTAGCCTGGTCTACAAAGAGAGTTCCAGGACAGCCAGGACTGTTACCCAGAGAAACCCTGTGTTGAAAAAAAAAAAAAAAGAAAAAGAAAAAGAAAAAGAAAAACAGACCAATGAAACACAGAATGGAGAGTCCAGAGCAGATGCAGGCATCTGATTTAAAATGGACACCATGGGAGGGGAGAGGATAGACAGATAGACAGTCTTCTGTACACACAGAACATGGCCAGTGGAGTGTAATACTGAGTAACACAAGTGAACTCTTACTCAAAGGAGACTGCCCCTTGGGCCTCTAACTTTGCTATGAGGACAGGGCCAGCTCCTTTGACGGTTTAAGAAAGTGGGAGACAGAAGGAACAGACCCAGAGGCAGTGACCTGCAGAGCTCCTCAGAGCTCCCTCAGAGGAACCTGCAAATGAGCGCAGCTGAGAGCCACAAAGTCATACCAGGAAACACAGGAGAAAGAGACTTCGAAACAAGCTTACTTAACTATCAATAGCATTACAGTGAACTTGTTCTATAACTTTTTGTTTTGAAACAGGGTCTCACTGTGCAGCCTTGGCTGGCCTGACTCACAGAGATCCACTGCCTCTCAATAAAAAATACTCAGACAGAGAATGAACTAACTACAGTACAGAAGGCCAAGTCAACATGATACTGAGTTTAAAAACCCCAAAACAAAGCAAAAAATACCCTCGACTAAACATAGTGGAGTCTAAGAATCCAATGTTGATTGACACATTAACCTTAAGAGAGCTATTTCTTTAAAAAAGCTTGCATAAGGCTGGGCAGCAGTGGTGCATGCCTTTAATCCCAGCACTCGGGAGGCAGAGCCAGGTGGATCTCTGTGAGTTCAAGGCTAGCCTGGTCTACAGAGCTAGATCCAGGACAGGCACCATAGCTACACAGTGAAACCCTGTCTTAAAAACAAAAAAACACCAAAACAAAACAAAAAAACCAAAACAAAACAAAAAAGCTTTCATTAGCTCAAAAATCAGTGTCATCTAAACTCAAAAGGAGAAATGAAATTTACAATTGGAGACAATCAGGCAAGCGCAGAAACAAGACTGACCTATGAGAAACATTAAATCTTTGGACAGTCCTTTCCCCGTTGGCCAACCAGATCTGGATCCTGGTGATGGGCTCCAAGTTGTTCAGTGAAACAGCAGACAGGGCACTTTTATTTTCAACTTCGATACTCTTTGCTTTAGAAACGATTTTTGGTGTAGCACTAAGAAAATCCAAACAACAAAGTCAGATACAAGTTTTCTCATAATAAAAAAATTTACTTAAAATGAAGCTCGGTTTCTAGGAAGAGTTTTATAAGTCACAACTACTCCTTCAGTAATAAATATGTTAGTTATATTCACAACATATAATGTTCTAGGATCAAATGAAATTAGGCACACCCAGTTGAACTGTAAGCATACAGAATGACATGTAAATTAGCATCACCTGGGGTACAGGATGAATCTCTAAAAGAAATTACTTTCTCTACAGAGGTTAGCCCTTGAGTAATCAAGGGGGAAAAAAGCAAAGTATTTTGAAAGGTACAGCTAGAAGTTTCTATATGTCAAGTTGAAACTGTATATGCCTTCCCACTACTAGTAAATGAAAACAAGGGACTGGCCTTGCTCAGTTGGTAGAGTGCTTGCTTAGCATACACAAATCCTCGGTCCAATCTGCCATACCCCATAAAACTGAGCATGTGTTAAACATTGTAATCCCAGCACTAGGGAGGTGGAGGCAGGAGGACAAGAAGTTCAAAGCTATCCTTTGATATATAAAGACATATATATATAAAGACCCTGCCTAAAACAAACAAAGCAAACCAAGACCAAAACCAAAACCATAACCAAAACCAAAACCAAGACCAATACAACCTTTAAAAAAAAAGTCTCATTTGGGAGTTGGGGATGTATTTCAGTAATAAGTATTTGCCTTACATGTTTATGGGCCCTAGGTTAGAGCCCTAATACCAGAAAAAACAACCATTTTTAGCAGGAGAAATATCAAGTTCTATATGGTTAAAATAATGGAAAACACAGATAATAACCGTACTTACCTTCCTAGTCTGTGACCCTGTCCCGAGAAGGGCTGGAACACGGGCTTTGTAGACATACATACTTCATTTTTTTTATCTTCAACTTTAACATCCACCTCTTCTTTATCAAAAATTCCCCGTAATTCTGAAGGTAATTCCCTTCAAAAGAAAAGAAAATGATAAAGCTCCTGTTTGCCCTTTCTCTGAAATACATTCCCTATGCCAAAAGAACTACATGATTTGTATTAGTTAATGTATGGGTTAAGGGGGTAGCTTAGCTGGTAGAGCACTTGCCTAGCATGCGCAGGCCTTGGGTTTAATCTATATACCATATAAGCAAGGCATGGTATAGAAAAATGTCTGTCGTAAATCAAACAGTGAAGGGGAAGATGAATAGGAATCTCACTTACAAACTTAAGTAAAACATAGCTCTCTGAACAGATGAAGATAGGTTTCTTCTGTATCCCAGAACCTAATCAATATTTATATGTATAATTCAGATATCATTTGGCTTAAAAGGGCTTATTGGGAAATGTTATCATTTTTACTATTTTCTATAGAGAAAAAATTTTACTGTTTCAAATAACCCTGGACTTTTGAATTATAACCTTTTTTTTTTTTTTTTTTTGGTTTTTCAAGACAGGGTTTCTCTGTGTAGCTTTGCGCCTTTCCTGGAACTCGCTTTGGAGACCAGGCTGGCCTCGAACTCACAGAGATCCGCCTGGCTCTGCCTCCCGAGTGCTGGGATTAAAGGCGTGCGCCACCACCGCCCGGCTTATAACCTGTTTTTACGTTCAGGCTATCTGTGTATTATTTCTCCTGCAGTTGTACATAAAATGTTTTTACATTAAAAAAGGACAAATACTATAGAATTCTATTACATAAAATATATAGAATATACAAATTCATAGAGACAGAAAGATCAGATGTTATCTCAAGATGGAGAAGAAAGGAATATAGAGCAGTGATTTCCTAAGTACAGAATCTCTGTTTTGTGTGATGGAAAAGTCCCACAAATGGACAGTAGTATCAGGACATAATATCATGAATGTAATAAATCAATACAATTAATGTAGTTAATGAATACCATAAATATAATTATTGAATGAATACTGTGAATATGATCAATGAATACCACAAATGTAATTAATATGAGTGTAAAATTAATGAATATTATGAGTGTAATTAAAAAATAAATTAAAAAAAAAAACTTAGCCAAGGACTAGAGAGATCAGCGGTTAAAAGCACAGTCCACTCTTCCTGAAGACTCAAGTTTGGCTCCAGAATCCATGTCAGGTGGCTTACAATGTCCTCTAACTTCCGTTCCAGGGGATATGATGCCTCTGGCCTCTGCAGGCATCTGCACACATGTATAAAATGCACCTACCCCCCATGCATGTAATTAAAAAAAATTTATAAACAAAAACTTAGTTGGGCTAAGTAATCCTAGCATTTGAGTGGTAAAGACAGAAGGGTAAGGCGCTCAAGGTAATAGTCAGTAATGAACTTGAGGTCAGCCTGAGCTATATGAGACCTGATATCTCCCCCAAACCAATTAATTTATACAGGGTTGTGGGGGTGTAGCTCAGTAGTAGAGTACTTGCCTGGCTTACATATAGTTCTGAGTTTAATCCACAGCCCAGCAAAACAAAAAATAAAACAAAACCAACCAACCAACCAACAAACAAGCAAAACACTTGCATAGGAATATATTTTTAACAGCTATAAATATGAAAATGACCCAAACATCTAACCACTGATAAACAGACAAACTGTGACATCTTACTATGTAGTCCTGGCTGTCTTTGAACTCATAGAGATCTGCCTTTATCTGCCTTGATTAAAGGTAAGCACCACCATGCCTAATAAAATACTTCTTATAGTAATAAAAGTTAAATAGCCTCAATTGCCAAGAAAAATTAGTGTGTGGGTATGTATATATATATATATATATATATATATATATATATGAATAATAAGTTATCATTGTGAGAATATATATTCAAAGAGCTCATGATGGAAAATTAAAAACTGGTTTATAAATAAATATATACATGTTATATATAAATCAGTGCACATAAATGCCAACAAAATGAAATTTTTTTCACTTTCACAGGAATGAAAATTCAACAAAAATGTTAATTGCAGCTATTTCTGAGTAGTAAAATTATTGGTAATTTTCAAGCTTTTCTTAATGCTTTAAAACACTTTTAGGGACTGGAGACATAGTTAGTGACTAGCATGTATGCATGGAGGCCTGGATTACACCAGAAGTTCAGGCTCCAAGCCAATGAGAGGGCTTAGTGGGTAGACACTTGCCAATATGTCTGATGACCTGAGTTTGAAACCCAGTAGAGAGAGTTGACTCCTACAGGTTGGTCCCTGATATCTACACATGCTCCTCCATGTATTCCACCACATCAATAAATAAGTAGATGTTTAAAAAAAGAAGTTCACCTTTATTCCCAACACTGGGGAGGCAGAGGCAGGTGGATCTGTGAGATCAAGGCCAGCCTGCAGAATGAGTTCCAGGACAGTTAGGGCTACACAGAGAAACCCTGTCTTGAAAAAACAAAGAAAAAGAAGTTCAAGGTCATTCTTTACTATGTTGAGGTCACATGGGCTGCGTAAGACAATGTCTCAAATAAAAACAATACAGATTACCACTCCCCTCAAAAATGTTTGGATTTTCTAGACAAACCATGTATAATACTTAGATTGATAATTTTAAACTTTATAATCATAAAGATAAAATGACTAAACGTGGAATAACAAAGAAGACATTAAGGAGTAAGTGGCAAGACTGTGGTTGATCAGAATTCAAATTCCTAAACTTCAAAATTATAGTTGTAATCTGGGTTTATTTGTGCATTTCCATAATCCCATTTGAGGCCAGCCTGGTCTACATAGTACACTCTAAGTTACCCAAGATTGTGTTCTGGGACCCTATATCAGTAAAGCAAACCACAAAAAAAATTAGTTATAGCTCTTTAAGAAAATGTTTAAAAAAAAAAAAAAAGGCATTACAAGCCAGGTGTAAAGATGGGCCACATCTTTAATCCTAGCGCAAAGAGGCAGAGGCCGAAGGATCTCTGTGAGTTCAAGGCCAGCCTGGACTACAATTCCAGGAGAGCAGGGATTGTTACACGGAGAAACCCTGTCTCAAAAAATAAAAAACAAAGAAAAGGGCACTGGGGGTGGGCATGGTACCCATGCCTTTAATCCCAGCTCCCAGACCATTGTTAAATCCAAGGCCAGCCTAGAGGGAGAGTAAGAGGGAAGGGGTGGGCGTGGGAGGAAGAAAGGGAAAGATCAATTTAAGCTAGTTGTGGTAGCTTATACCTTGGATTTCAAGGCTAGCAGAGACTAAATGAGACTGCTGTTCAAAGATTTTACATTTGTTTACACCTGTGTATAGTATATGCATGGGCAGATGCCCTTGGGGGCCAGAAGAGGCCCCAGACTAAAGCAGCCAAAACTCTTAAACCATCTCTCCAGCTCTGGCTGTTATTTAAAACAAACAAACAAACAAACACACTACACTCCCCCGCCCCCGAGGAAAGAGATGTGAATTGACAGAAGCAACAGTATGTCAATGAATGTGTAAAAGAGCATAATAATCACTACAATGATTCTTTCACATGAAACATGCCTGAAATACCCTTCTACTAGATCCTGCTTACCCCTTTTTGATGGAGTTCAGAAACTGCTGACTTGCACCATCAGAGTAACTTCTAAAGTCATCATTGACTGTGAATCCGTTTTTCCACAATTTTATATTTACATCTACCTACAAGGCAGTAAAGAAAGGAATGCATTGTAAGAAAGGCTGACCTTGCTCTCACTAAATAGCCTAGGCTGGCCTTAAACTCCAGATCCTCCTACCTTAGCCCAAGTTCTGAGTTTACAGGCCTGTGCCACCATACCCAGCTCATGTATGACTTTAAAATAATAACATATATATTAGTCATTTGGAAAACAGTGGTCCCCTAAGCCATGCAAATCTAACATGTAGACAAAACATTCAAACACATAAAAGAAGTAAATGTGATACATTTCCAGGTCTTTGTTTACTTTTTAAACTATGATTTATCAAAGTTTATAATTGGTACTATAATGATTGAAATATCTTTAAAAAAATAAAAACTTATATAGGTATGCAGTTGCAAAGGTATTTTAAAATGTTTCCAAAGCTGGGCAGTGGTGGTGTACACCTTTAATCATAGCACTTTGGAAGCAGAGGCAGGTTTGAGGCCAGCCTGGTCTACAGCGTGAGTTTCAGAACAGCCAAAGTTACACAAAGAAACCCTGTGTTGAAAAACAAAAACCACAAGTTTCTTAGATGGCTCAGTCAGTTCTCTCCTACCCTGTGGGTTTCAGACTGTTGGGCCTGGCAGCGGTGTGCTTACTCCGTGAGTCACCTCTCAGTCCTTCCCATCTCCTTTTTTGAGACAGGATCTCTTACTGACCCTGGAGTTCACCGATTCAGCTTGACTGGCTAGCCACCAAGCACAGGGATCATCTGGGTCTCTGCCTCTCCAGCCCTGGGAATGAGTCTTCTGGGAGTCCCAGTGCAGGTCCTCACACTTATTTCGGCAAGGCAAGCATTCTAACTGCCATGGCCCTGGCTTCCGCCCATCCTGAATATTCCAGCCTTGAACTACTTATGTGGCCGAGGACACCTTCGGCCTCCAGTTTTCCTGATTCTCCATCTCCCAAGTGTCGGGATTGCAGATGTAAATCATCATGTCCAGTTTATGAAGTGCTGGGTTGACGCAGAGCTTTGTGAAAGCAGTCTACCAGCTGAGCTCCACCCTCAGCCCCAGCACAGGCATTCGTAACTGGAAGCAACATTGACCTGGTTTGTAAAGTCAAGTAAATAATACAATAACTTATAACTCAAGTTTGTTGTGACTGCCTTGCCTCCTGCTCAGACGCCAACAACTCTACCCATCGCTTTCTGACACGGTGCAAATTCCACACAATGAAAATGGGAATAATAGCTTTACTATTGCAAAGGTAGTTTTGACTTGAGCGGTCCTCCTCGAGGCCAATAAGTAACAGACATTTATTTACCTGTTTCTTCTGTTCAGTGGGGGACAAGCATTTGGCACCAACCTTCTCTGCTTCCTCAAAAAGGCTGTCAACAAAATAGTCACAGTTCCTTTGTTGATTATCATTGAGGGGCTGATTGTCAGGGGGTCCTGTTTCACAAACCCTAAAAATAAAATAAAAATAAAGTGCTGTAAACTCTGCGTTTGTGAAGATGTACCCTGGGGAAGTCATTAAAGGCATTTTAGTCTAGACCAGTCCTACAGACACTTGGGGAAGGCTAACTTTTTGCTGTGTAGGGTATCTTTTATATTTTAGGATGTCTAGCAGGGCCCTTGACCTTTATCCATACAGTGTTGATAACAAGAGCAGTATGAAGGCACAAATGATAACCAAGCAGTTATGCACATATGAAGCATGTGCATAAATTAATATAAATTAATTTAAAAGTCCCCAAACCAGATGTTCATTACTGCATCCCGTGTGCGAGTGTGTGCACAGGCGCACATGCGCAGAAGCACTGTGGAAGTCAGAGAACAACCTGTGGGAATTATGGGGATTGGTTTACTCTTTCTACCATGTGGTGCAGGGATCGAACTTAGGCTGTCAAGCTTGGCAACAAGGGAACTTGTTGGGGAATATTATTTTAAGGGGTGTTACTTTTGTTTATGTTGCATTTGTTTAACTCTGTGGAGCTGTGTTACTGTGCCTGTCTAAAACACCTGATGGTCTAATAAACAGCTAAACAGCCAATAGTGAGGCAGGAGAAAGGATAGGTGGAGTTGGCAGGCAGAGGGAATTAACAGAAGGAGAAATCTGGGAGAGGAGAGATCTAGGAGCGAGAGAAGGAGGAGGACATCAGGGGCCAGCCACCCAGCTACACAACCAGCAACCGAGTAAGAAAGAAAGGTATACAAAAACAGAGAACAGGAAAAGCCCAGAGGCAAAAGACAGACAGGTTAGTTTACAGTTAAGAAAAGCTGGCAAGAAACAAGCCAAGCTAAGGCTGTGCAATCATAATTAAGAATAAGCCTCCGTGCATGATTTATTTGGGTGCTGGGTGGTGGGCCTCCCCAAAAAAGCAAAAAACAACAACAGGAGGTATCACACTTGCCCCAGAATTTTAAAAAGAATTTTTTTCCTTTTTTCTGGAGCTGAGGACCGAACCCAGGGCCTTGCACTTGCTAGGCAAGCGCTCTACCACTGAGCTAAATCCCCAACCCTAAAAAGAACTTTTTAAAGAGGTCGGTAGAGGGCTAGAAAGATGGCTCACAGGTTAAGAGTGTGTACTGCTCTTGTGGAGGACCCGAGTTTGGTTCCTAGCATCTATATACGGCAGCTCACAGCTACTGTAACTACAGTTCCAGAGGACCAGATGCTCTATTCGGGCCTCTGAGGGCACCTGCATTCAGGTGCAACATTCTTCATAGACACAGACACATTTTAAAAAAGATCTCAGTACAATGTAACAGTTGTTAACCAATCTCCACTTAAAGTGCCAAAGTAACTAAAAATACCTTTATAAATGTCGATGTGTCTAACACTAGTCCAAAAGCACAAAGAAGTACACTTTTATTTTTTGAAACAGGGTCTCATATATCCCAGACTGGCCTCAAACTCTCTAAGTAGCCAAGGATGACCTCAAACTACTGCCTCCATCTACCAAATGCTATGATTATAGGCATGTGCCACAATCCTGGATTTTTTATATGGTGCTGGGGACTGAACCCAGGGCCTAATGCATACTAGGCAAGAACCCTACCAACTAAGGTATATGCTCAGTCATAAGTACACACACACAAAAAAGGACATTGTTTTGAAGGGTTCAAAATAGCCTTTTTAACAACCCATCCAACCACACACAGAGTCTCATTATTTTGCCAAAGCTGGTCTCAAACTATTAGGCTCAAGTAGTCCTAGCTCAGATTGACAAAATGTTGGGACTATGGTTTATGGCACTGTGCTCAGCCTCAGATGACTTCACAAGGGATTACTAAGTACTTTTTGGTGTAGAAACTAAAAGCGATAGTATGTCAGGAAGACACTAACAAGCATTTTTTTTTTTTTGTGGCGGGGTGTGTGGGGGGGGAGTGGGGTGTTCGAGACAGGGTTTCTCTGTAGCTTTGGAGCCTGCCTTAGAACTCGCTCTGTAGACCAAGGCTGGCCTCGAACTCACAGAGATCCACCTGTCTCTGCCTCCTGAGTGCTGGGATTAAAGGTGCACACCACCACCACCCGGCTAAACGTAATCTTTTTTCATTTGGGTTTTTTTTCAAGACAGGATTTCTCAGTGTAGCCTTGGCTATCCTGGAACTTACTCTGTAGAGCAGGTTGGTCTTGAACTCACAGAGATATGCCTCCAAAGTACTGGGATTAAAGGTGTATGCCACCACTGTCAGGCATAACAAGCATTCTTTACATTTGCACACTCACAGTGATATTCTCCACTAATGGTCATTTTAATAGCCCACTTCCTTTTCTATTTGTTTTTTTCAGACTGAGTCTCATGTAGGCCAGGCTAGCCTCAAACTCTATAAAACTGACATTGACCTTGAATTTCTGATTCTCCTGTCTCTATGTCCTAAATGTTGGAATGCCAAGCATGTGCCATCCTGCCTGGCTTTCTGTTGCTGTTGATTTAGGATTTATATTTCATCATATAAAAATGTTACATAAGATTTTACTTGTCAGGAATGGATTCTGAGCTTTTGGAAGTTAGGCACAAAATTTATGAGAAACAATGAGATATCACTATTTTGTAACTCACTAACAGGAACTATAAGGTAGATACACTTACTGATCCTGCTGCTAATCTACCTCTCAAGTCTATGCTTCTAACCATGCTACTCTATAAAGAACCATTCTAAGCACTTTACATGTGCCAACTCATTCAGTCTTCACAGTGATCCTAGAAAGTATTATTTTTACCTTAATAGATGAAGATAATGGCTAAGTAAAGCTTGTTTAAGCAAAGCTTATGCTCTTAACACCATGTCAGACAATCTTTCAAAATAACCATCATTATATTGTTATTAAAATCAAAGTTTATGCTTTTTTTTTAGTTTTTTGAGACAGGGTTTCTCTCTGTAGCTTTGTGCGTTCCCTGGATCTCGCTCTGTAGACCAGGCTGGCCTCGAACTCACAGAGATCCACCTGCCTCTGCCTCCTGAGTGCTGCACCACCACCGCCCGGCCAAAGCTTATGCTCTGAACACCATGTCAGACAATCTCTCAAACTAGCCACCATTATATTGTTATTAAAATGTTGGTACTCAAGGTTGAGGATATAGCTCAGTTGGATTTGGCTCACTCAAAAGGACCTGAGTTTGACCCCATCACCTAGGTGTACAGGGTATAGTGATGAATCCTAGAACTCAAAGAAGAGACAAGCAGATTTCTGTGAGTTACAAAGGTTTACAGAGGCGTTCCAGGCTAACCGGAGCTATGTAGTGAGACACTATCTCAACAACCAAATAAATGCCAGGAATGTGGGTGGAAGAGATGGCTCATACCATGGTAATGCTTTAAGTTAGGCATATCCTTTTTACTTTCCAAGATAATTCTTTCTGCTACACACACAGTTAAAACATCCATATTATCAGTATTAATTATATCGTCCCCAAACAATGACAAGGTTCTTTCACACAGAAATGTTTCAGGATATCTGATCACATTGTGTGAAGGTGTGTCGCTGTTTTACCTCACCTGCCTAAGACACCTTCTAATTGGTTTAATAAATAGCCAAGAGATAGTCAGGAAAGGATAGGCGGGAATTCCAGGCAGAGACAGGAACTCTGGGAAAAATTGGAGAGGCACCAACACTACACAGAGAAACACTGTCTCGAAAAACAAAACCAAACCAAAAGCCCAGGCCCTTATGGTTCATGTTTAGATACCTTTACTTAATTGCAGGAAGGAAAACTAAGTTTCAATAAGAAACTTAAATTTCTATGATTTGGTTTTCTTATCTCTAAGAAGCAGATACTGGGCTTGGGATCTAGCTCAGCTGGCAGAGTACTTGCATATGGCATTCACAAAGCCCTGGGTTCAATCCTCAGCACTACATAAACCTGGCATGGTGGTGCATGCCTATAATCCCAGTACTTTGGTGGTAAAGACAGGAGGATGAGAAGTTCAGGTTGAATCTTTGGGTACAGAGTGTATTAAAGGATAACCAGGGCTATTGTGAGACTGTCACAAAAAAAGAAGTAAAGATGTGGATGCCACCACAAATGGTCCTGAAGATAAAATGAAAAAGACAATGTGGCTGGGAGTGGCACGTTGGCACACGTTGTTAGTCCAGAGGATCTCTATGAGTTCCAGGACAGCCAGGGCTGTACAGAAAAATCTTGCCTCAAAAAAACCAACAAAAAATAGTTTTATGAAAAACTCAATAAATCAAAACGACAACTCAATGAATAGCACTGTAAGTAGATGAGATGAGGCCAAAGAAGAACTATCTGAAGACAAGGCTAGAGAACTATATGTAGGTCAGGAATAGTGGCCCAAGCCTTTAATCCCAGCACTGGAGAAGCAGAGGCAGGCAGATTTGGGTGAGTTCAAGGCCAGCCTGGTCTACAGAGTGAGTTTCAGGACAGCCAAGGCTACAGAGAGAAACACTGTCTCAAAAAAAATCAAGACCAAAACCAAAAACAAGAAAAAAAAATTATATTTAGGGTTCAGTAAATTGACTTAGGCAGTAAAAGTATTTACTGCCGGGCGGTGGTGGCGCACGCCTTTAATCCCAGCACTCGGGAGGCAGAGCCAGGCGGATCTCTGTGAGTTCGAGGCCAGCCTGGTCTCCAAAGCGAGTTCCAGGAAAGGCGCAAAGCTACACAGAGAAACCCTGTCTCGAAAAAAAACCAAAAAAAAAAAAAAAAAAAAAAAAAAAGTATTTACTATGTTCAATCCCCAGACTAAATTCAATCTCCAGAACCCACATATAATTGTGGGGGGTGGGGGAGATTGACTCCTTCCAAACACATATGGAATGTAGCCACTCAAGAGAGTGATGAATTTTATGGAGATAGCAGTTTTTTATAATGCAATCATAGCCTGGCCTGGTGGTATAGGCCTGTATCTCCAGCTACTTAGCAGACTGGGGGAGCTTTGTAAATTCAATGAATGTGTGGGCTACAGAGTGAGTTTAAGGCCAACCTGGGCAATTTAGTGATGCCCTGTCACACAAAAGCTGGAGATGTAGCTGAGTGGCAGAGTGCTTGCTTTGCCTATGTGAGGCCCTAGACTCAATCCCTACAAAGAAAGAAAGGCCATTAAAGAGAAAAAGTAATCATGATCAGAAGAAGGAAGAGCTCCAGGATACAGTTAAAGGAACGAACTCTTTTTTTTTTTTTTTTTTTGGTTTTTCGAGACAGGGTTTCTCTGTGTAGCTTTGCGCCTTTCCTGGAACTCACTTGGTAGCCCAGGCTGGCCTTGAACTCACAGAGATCCGCCTGGCTCTGCCTCCCGAGTGCTGGGATTAAAGGCGTGCGCCACCACCGCCCGGCTGGACCGAACTTTTACAACAACCTGCTCAATGAGGCTATGGGTAAAAACTACAACAAACCACCCTCAAATATATTACTATTACCAATTTGCGTAAGTGATCATACATAATTAAAAGCTGCTTTACTATTTCTGCCAGTGGTATGCAAACAAAACAAAAACAAAGAAAATAACAAAGGCATTAAACTCGTTAACTTACCAGTCTTCTTTTATACTGTCAAGACTATCTACTTCTTTCATTCTCTTCCTGCTACTGCAAAAGTAAAAAGAAACAAAAGTTAAAGTTTTCAATAGTATCAAAACCTTACTCCTATGTATCAGTATTCTTTAACAAGTAAGTTACCGTGTAACCTTAAAGTAGTTCTAAAAGGGTTTGAACAACTGACCACATTCAATATGGTCATTTTTTTTTTTTTTGAGAGTAAGAAATAGTTTATTCTGGAACCAAATATGAATGACCATTACCCAAGAACAGATTTAGGTTACCTCAAACACCACATTCCAATGTGGTAACAGGTTCATGCTGTCTTTTTAGTCACAGACTAAGAACCATAAATCAGGGCACTTTTCATCATCAGATATGTAGATTATAGAAAAGTGGGGGAAACTTCTTGTTACAGGCCTTAGATGCTATATGATGGCATTTTTAGCCTTTGAGTTGGTAGAAGTTAGGGGTCTGTTTGTATATTTCACGAGGATTTACCTAATAGTCATAAGGAAGTTAGGCCTGTTGGAAAAGAATTCAATATGGTCATTTTCATCTAAAACAAAACACAGAAACACAGCAGTGTGGTGCCACATGCCTGTAATCCCAGCACCTGGGAAGCAGAGGAAGGATGAGTTCAAGGTCATCTTCAACTCTGTTGCTAAAGACGAGCTTGGGCTCTGAGTAGGGGAGGAATGAAAGAAAGTTTAACCTCACCACTGGGGAGGCAGAGGCAGGCCAAATTCTGTGAGCTCTAGGCCAGCTGGGGCCATGTAGTGAGACCTAGTCTCAAAACAAAACAAAATAAAAAGACCAGGAGCTGGAGAAATGACTCAGTAGTTAAGAGAATTTATTGTTCTTGCAGAGGGCTGGGGTTAGATTCCCAGAACCCACAGGGCAGCTCACAACCACTTGTTGTGATTTATACCTGTAGTGGGTGGTTTTGTGTGTCAACTTGCATCATCAGAAGAAGGATCCTCAGCTGAGAGAATGTGTTCTTTTTTTTTTTTTCCGAGACAAGGTTTCTCTGTGTAGCTTTGCACCTTTCCTGGAACTCACTCTGTAGCCCAGGCTGGCCTTGAACTCACAGAGATCTGCCTGCCTCTGCCTCCCAAGTGCTGGGATTAAAGGTGTGTGCCACCACTGCCCAGCCGAAATGTGTTCTTGAGATCCAGCTGTAAGGCATTTCCTCATTTAGTGATCAATGCAGGGAGGCCCAGCCCATGGTCGGTGGTGCCATCCCTGGACTGCTGGTCCTGGGTTCTATAAGAAGATGGGCAGAGCAAGCCATGGGAAGCAAGCCAGTGAGCACTCTGCCATGGCTTCTGGATCAGCTCCTGCCTCCGGGATCCTGCCCTGCTTGAGTTCCTGTCCTGACTTACTTCAGTGAATAATAGCAATGTTGAAGTGTAAGCCTAATAAACCCTTTCCTTCTCAACTTGCTATTTGGTCATGGTGTTTTGTCGCACGCAGCAACAGAAATCCTAACTAAGACAACATCCTCTCTGACTTCTGAGGGCACCTGGCACACACATATTGTATAGTAGTGTATAGACAGACTTGTGAACAAAACACTCATTCACATTAAAAGAAAAAGAAAGAAAGAAGTAGAAAGAAAGAAAAGAAATAGAGAAAAAAGATCCCACAAAGACACCAATAATAATATTTTAAATGGGGATTCTTTTTTTTTTTTTTTTGGGTCTTTTTCTCTGTCTGCTATATGTGTTTCCTCATCCCTCAATAAACACCTTTCTTCAACTGCTAAAATTAATATTTTAAAGGGGCTTTTTTAGGTGTGTACATGTGTGTAAGTGTTCATGTAGTATACATGCATGACGGTGGCATGTGAGGCTAGAGGGCAACGTCAGGTGTCTTCCTGGATGCTTTCCCACCACATTTGTGTGTATGTGCAGGTATGTGTGCATGCATGTGGAGGCCAGAGGGCAATTTCAGGTGTTTCCTCCTCAGACATCAACCCTCTTATTTTTTCAGGGAGAGTGCCTCCCTGGAACCTGGGGATCACTGATTCTGCTAGACCGGCAGGCCAGTGAACTCCAGAGATCCACTCGTCTCTGCATCCCCAGTGTTGAGATTACATGCATTCACCACTAACTTTCATGTGGATGCTGGTGATCCAAACTCAGGCCCAAAGAATGTACTTTATTGACTCAGCCATTCTGTAGCTTCCAAAGGTTTTTCATTCGTTTGTTTGTTTTTCTGAGACAAAGTCTCACTACATTGTCCTGGATAGCTTAGAATGTTAGTTCCAAAGACCCTCATCCCCATCCCTGTCTTCATTCAAACCAGATTCTACACTGCTATTGGAAGAAGGGCAGAGTCTGAGGAGTTACCAGCCAGACTCAGAGGAAGCAGGACATGTACAAAATGAGGTAACAAGCAATGAGCCACGTGGTAGAACTTAGATAAGAAATATGGGTTCATTTAGGTTGTAAAAGCTAGTAAGCAACAAGTCTAAGCCATTGGCTGTGCATTTATACTTAATATAAGCCTCAGTGTGTTTCTTTGGGAGTGGCTGCTATCACAGGAAACCTCCCCCTACAAATGGTGTTCCAACATGGGTCTGGAATTTCCACATAAGACCTGACAAAGCTTAAAAAAGGATTCTAAACACACAGAGTCAAACTCAGCTTCTTGGTAACCACCTTTTCCCCACTAGGCTCTGTTTGCTAGTGGCAAGCAGAAGCAGAGCTCCTTTAAGAGACGGTTTCCTGACTCAGTGCTAGTGGCAAAGACAGGCACAGTTTTTAAAAAAAAATTTTTTTAATTTTTATTATTTTTTTGAAGGCACATAGATCTTGTTTATACATGTCTTAGACAAACACATTGTCTTTTTCTTTTTTTAAGATTTACTTATTATGTATACAGTGTTCTGCCTGAACAACAGAAGAGGGACCAGATCTCATTACAGATGGTTGGGAGCTACCCTGTGGTTGCTGGGAATTGAACTCAGGACCTCTGGAGGAACAGCCAATGCTCTTACCCTCTGAGCCATCTCTCCAGTCCCAGGCACAGTTCTATTAAGAAGCCTGCTACCAAACACTTAAATGGGGTTCATGAGCAGTGGGTGGCATACTACTTGGTGGCAACATGGACCCAAAACGACCCAGAGTTGGAGCAGTAAACGTGGTTCGCTCTTGTCAGTATCTCTGCCATGAAGCTAGGCTCTCAGGGAACCAAGCAGGGCAGAGCCAGCCGCCAAAGTGGAGGCTCTGGTCCTAGCCACGCAGCTTAACAGTTTAAAGACTCATATGGTCAGAAAAAGATCACAGATATGCAATAGAGATTTAGACAGAAAAAACCTCTAAATGGGTTACAGTGTCTTAAAAATATACATAGGCTTGGGAGAGAAAGGAGAAGGTAAAGACAGTCATTAAAAAAAAAGAAACTATATAGTTTTAAAATAATAGTAAAGTCCTTAAAAGGGGAGTAAAGTAATATAAAAGAAATAAGTCACGTGAAGATGGAAAACACACATAGAGTCTGGATCCTATGTTATTGTGTTGTCTTTAAATTTTTTGACTCATAAAAGATACTGGATTATAAAAGGTACTAGATTAAACCAACCTATATATTTTAAAAATATCTTGACTTCAAAATTTAAGTCAAAAGATATGTTACTTTGGGAAAGAGGTTATGCTTTCATTTCCACAGATAATGTGAAGCTGTGGATTTGTTCAAGGTTAAAGAGAATCAGGTTTGATCAGGGAAGACCCCCTGAAATCCTGGCTACAGACATAAATACATAAACCTACAAAACATATAAAACACATAACATATATTTCACCTGATGAAACATAAAATAAAAAATCATCTTGGCTGACTTGTGTGCAATGCACAGTCTATACTTGTATTAATACTGATATGTATGTTTATCTTTAAAAAGTTTATGTATTTTCAGAACAAGGGACCAGACACCAATAAAAATGGATGGCCCAGGTGGTCCAGCATACAGAATAGCTTCAAGACTGCTGACTGAGATGATCCAGCCTCACAGAATACTATAGCCAAGACTTAACGATTATCCTAAATTTTCTCAGGGTCCAAAGATTGCCAATACCCCCAAACAACAAGAAGTAGTCTAGAGAATGACAACTACATTCCCAAAATATTGGTTATAAATGTTTGTTATCATTTAAGGGGGGGTTGGTTACAAGGTGTTATTCATAAGAGTAAAAAAAAAAAACTAAACAAAGGAGATTAGATCTCAGGGATCTCATTCTGAAAAGAAAAAGGGGATTATATACAGAAATGATAGGATAAAAGGGTAGATTATTGAATCACTTTTAAACCAAAAAACAAACAAACAAACAAACAAAAAACCCAACTACTAATATTAAATATTTCACATTTGTATGGACTTTGGTATATTGATACAAATTTAAAGTTAATTTTATTATACTGTATGTATATTTCTACTCTTGTTTAGGGTATTGTGTTTATGCAGCTCATTAAAAAATGTAATATGTAATTAAGAAATACAGATTAATAGTCATCTATAATAGTCAAACTTATAGTCATGTTAGGTATGTTTTCAAGGTCATACACAGATCTATTTAGAGAGATGGTCTTCAAACACTTCAAAGGCCTACATAATATGGCGTTTAATATGTTTAAAATGTTTAATGACCTAAGGCTTTTCATGATAGCAAGACCCCTCTGCTCCTAGAAGTACCAATTTACTTCAGAGAATATAATGGGCATCAGAGAAATTCCATATGGAGTTTGCCTTCCTTATGGCAAAAGCTAGCCATTTGGGCAAAGACACTGCCCTTGCCTCAATTGCTGACAGTTACTGTCCAAACTGGACCAGTAGGATGCAAGAAAGGTGACTGCCAAACTTTGTCAAGACAAGGTAGGACAGTCCTTTAGAATTCCCTGCTTCTCAGGAAAGACTGTCAGATACACTAGGCCTGTGGGCCAAAACTGGATGCCCCAATGTTACAGAAGAACCGAAGGTGATTGTCCAGGCAGCCAGATGTCCCTGTCATTAGGTAACATTTCACCCTTCTGGGGTCTTTGATGAAGTT